AAATAGATGCCATGCCGCAACAAAAAAGACTCACAAGTAACTAAATAATAAAACCACCTTAGACTTTCTAAATGCACATTTTAAACTTAATGAGACATTATCTTGGCCATTTATTATTAACCTTATTTACCAGTAAAGACCCTATTTAAAAGTTAAACTGCTCTGTCTAGTCACACAGAAATGATGGTCTTATCGCAACATTTCCTATAATAATAATATTAATAATAGCAATATTGTGGATAGATAATAATGAATGTAGCGTGACGCATATAGCTACACACTTCAAGCATATTTACTAATGAAGGTAACATGGAGCTGACGAAGTATTTGTACTTTAAATCTGCTGAATTACATTAGTTTAAATGCCTAGTGCATTAGTCAATACTCTATACTGTAGAAAAATATGAAGTATGTTGATAATATAGAATATTTAAATGAATACCTGAGTTTACCGCCATCTGCGTCGCCATGTCTGAAGCGTGAGAGGGCTCAGGGCTGCCCCGAATTTTGCCGGTGTGAAAACATAACTTTCGGTTTCTTTTGTAAAGTGTTTTTTATTTTGCATTCACATTTGTGTATTTTTTGTCGTCTATCTTATTGATTTCTTTGTTGAGTTTTTTGACAACATGGTTTAAAATAAAAGTGGGTAGAATTGCAGTCGGCATGAAATCAATTACTGAAATAAGCGAGGAATTTAGTGGACCGACAGTCAGATACAACTGGACCAAACAATATATTTTTATTTTATAATATTTATATTGTATTTCTTGTCACCGTATTGTTATTTCCGACAGCCGCCTCATCAGCGGCAACTTTGTCACATGGTACGTGTTACTTTTTTCATCGCTTCTAAAAGCAGCGTAATCACAGTTACTTGTGTTTAAAGGATTGTGGCGTTTCATGAAATCATTTTACAGCGGGTCCTCGGTCATGTTTGTACTTGTATGACGGAGGCCGATTCCGGAATTTATTACAAATAAACGATTATAATGTTAGTATGCATATGTCATCAATAAGACCAAAAGACGTCCCAAGACTTAACGTAAATGCGACTCGGACGATTCTGTTTTCCGAGCAGCCAAGCGCAGTGTT